CAACCTGCCTGCCGCAGTGCGGTCATAAAGGCAGCTCTTCTACATCGGAGAAAATAATCTGTCTTCATTTGCCTCCTCTGCCTCTGCCTCTGCCTCTGCCTCTGCCTCTGCCTCTGCCTCTGCCTCTGCCTCTGCCTCTGCCTCTGCCTCTGTATACGAAGTTCGCTGCACTCCACTGAGCGGTGAGCAGCGGTGATATGGATGGAAAGAGGGTAGGAACAGAAAGGAGGAGCAAAGGAAAGAGACTGGGAGTTGTGAGCTATATTTTTCAATATGCGCCAATAAATGCTTGGAAACACATCATGTAAAACAATACTCCTTCTGACATCCTTAAGTGTGAAGCACCATAGACACTACAGGAGACATCTTCAGGAGCCAGTGGGAGACTCCTCATAGCCCCCGCACAAACCGGAACCACTCGTACGTACCCTCCCTCCCTCCCTCCCTCCCTCCCCGCCGCTACCCACCCATCCTGTTCTCCTCTTCCCCTTTTCCTGCTTCTCCTCTTCCTCGCTTCTTTCTTCTCCCTCCTCTTGCGGTTATTCCTGCTGTTTCAAATCTTAACTTGCACGTCCACCTTACTCCTCCTCCTCCTGTGCTGCTGCTGCTGCTCCTCCTTCTCCTCCTCCTCCTCGTCCTCCTCCTCGTCCTCGTCCTCGTCCTCGTCCTCGTCCCTTCAGTGCTCTGCCTGCTCGCTCCCTTGCTTGTTGATTCGTTTTCTCCTCCCTTGTAAATTCGCTGCAGTTGAAGGAATCCCCCGGTCTCGAGCCATGTCATCCTCCAAGCAGCAGACCCCTCTTCTTCCTCCTCCTCCAACTTTCCGAACAGCTTTTTCAACCTCCACCTTCATGCAGTCCCCTCTTCCTTCTACTCGGGTGACTTGATCCTCTTCTGTTCAACCTCCTTTCTTCCTTCCTCCTCCTCCTCCTGCTTCTCACTTCACACCTAGCCCACAAGTCTGCTCGAGGAGCTCGGTCTAAAGCCCAACGAGATAGGACAGGACAGGAGGCGCCAGGATCAGACGCTAGCGCCTCCTCCCACCAACTTCTCTGCAGCTGCCGATGCTGTGAAAGGATGGTTCGGCCTTACAGCCCCTCGACCTTCGCCTGCTCCTCCTCCTCCTCCCCTTCATCCCCTCGAGGTCTCCTCCTCCTCCTCCTCCTTCACTCGAACTGATAGAACGCAAGTACTGGGAGAAGAGAGCAGAGGAGGAGGCAAAGAAGCAGCAGGCGCTGGCAACGAGTCCCTTCCACAAGGAGGCTGACCCTCGGGAGGAAAGTATCCGCCAGCAGGTAGGAGGCGAGAGGGAGCATGCAAGAGGGGTGTTGCTGACTAGCATCAAGGGGGAGAGCAGACGGTGGGTACTCACATCTCAACGCTGTGTCGAGCTGGTGAAGGTGAAAATGCTCCTGCCCCACTGCCCCTCTTTTCTCCTGCTCCTGCTCCTGCTCCTGCCCCTGCCCCTCGTCACCAAGCACTGGTACCCAGACCCTCGACCGTTCGGCGTTTTCAAAAGATCCCAAGGAACTTGAGAGGCATGGAAGAGATATCGCACAGGTCTGCCCTCCCCCCTCCCTTCCCCTCCTGCTCCTCGTCCTGCTATCCCTCCTACTGCTACTCCTGTTTGTTCCCCTCTTCCTTCCTTCGTCCTCCTCCTTCCTTCCTGTCTGCTCCTCCTGCTCCTGCTCCTGCTCCTCCTGCTCCTCCTGCTCCTCCTGCTCCTCCTGCTTTTTTGCTCACCTTCCCTTCCCTCACTTACTTCTTGGCTGTAGATTGATTGCACAGACGCCAACCAGATACAGCGGGTGAAGAAGAATGTCCGAGCTGTCATAGGAGGTGAGTATGCTTCTGCTGCTCCTGCCCCTGCCCCTGCTCCTGCTCCTGCTCCTGCTCCTGCTCCTGCTCTTTCTACTTATCCTGCTCGTCTTGCTGCTCTTCTGTTCTTTTTCTTCCGTCCTCGTCCTCTCTTTGACCTCCTGACAGGAATTTCTGCTTCTTCAATGCTCCCTGAGTTCGTTAAGTCCGATGATGTGAGTTCGCCGCGTCTCCTCTCTTCCACCTCCCCATCCATGTCCCTCCTGCTCCTGCTCCTGCTCCTGCTCTTGCTCCTGCTCCTGCTCCTGCTCTTGCTCCTGCTCCTGCTCCTGCTCTTGCCCTTGCTATCTGTCCTCGTCTCCTTCCTCACTTCTTACAAAGCTCTGGCTTCGAACGATCGACAAGCTTGAGAGTGCGACAAAAGACCAGGAAGCAGCAGATGCAGTCAGGTCGGATCCTGCTGCTGCTGCTGCTGCTGCTGCTGCTGCTACTGCATCTTCTCCTTCTCTTGCCCCTGCTCAATCTTCCCCCATCCTCGTGCTCCTCTCCCTTCTGCTCCTCCTACTCTCTGTTCTTTACGCTCCTGCAGCTTTCTCCGCTCCTATGTCAAAGCCGAGTACTGGAGACCCGCAGGAGTTTCTTCCTCCTCCACCAATCTCTCGCAAGAGCCCAGCTACGTTGACCTGTGAGGAGGGAAAGGCAGAGGAGGGCGATGAATGGTGATATGATGTGATGGGGGGCGGGGGCGGGGAGCGGCGAGGGGGAGGTGATGCGCTACATGCCGAGTGAGCTCTTTCAGCCCTCCAACCCCAACGCCTTCCCCCGCGGCCCCCACCCTTCTCACCTCCTCGTCGAGTGCCTCGAGACCCGCGAGAAGATGTGGTGCAAGGTGTCGGATCTGGAGCCCTTCGACAGCGACAAGGGGGAGAAGATGGAGAAGGAAGCAGTCAAGAGCGTTGAGAGCGACTTGAAGGAGAGCCTGAAGGCAGCGATCAAGCAGGCGAAGAAGGTGCTGGAGGAGTACGACGATGTGATTGAGTGTAGTATCCGCTGCCATCTGTGCACCGCATGGCGAACATTCAGAGGATCGCGAGCCGATGCAGAGGAGAATGACTGGGAGTGCAGCATGGGCTACATCGTTGACGGA